TCGGGAGATGTGCAAAACGGGCATGCCTGCTCCAGGCAGGCAGGCTGCCGAAGTGATTGCCAAATTAAGGAGGGCTTGGTGACCTCCTCTCAGGCCCCAGCATTTACCAGGGCCCCACTATCTGCCAGTCCCCAGGAGGTGTAATTGGGGATTCAAAAAAAATGCAAACCCTTGTCTTAGCTTTTGGGGGGGAACTCCCTGATCTGCAGGGACGACAAGAAATGGTATGAAAACACAGGATGTGTGTGTGTGTGTGTGTGTGTGTGTGTGTGTACCACAGGGTGTGCACATACATGAGAAAGAAAGGGGCCCCCCATCAACTGGACATGGATATGTCCCCATCTTTTCCCTCCTATTCTCCACCCCCTGAATACCCTGGCCACATGTGTGCCTGGCTTACATGTCCATGGTGTTTTCTTTCTTCCTTCCTTCCTTTTTCTTTTTTTTTTTTAAGAATTATTTTATTTAACTTTATTTTATTTGAGCAGAGAGGGACAGAGTGAGGGGGGAAAGTGAGAAATCAAACCACCAGGTCTGGGACTCGAACCACGGTCAGCTATGTGGGAGTCCAGTACCCTTAACCACCATGCCACCTGCCAGCCCCTCACCCCCACCCCGCCCGTATGTTTTTCAAGCCAACAGAGCCACACTTCAACCCTGTGGGACTTGGCTTCCATTGCACAGGGCCTAACCACTGTACTACCAGCCCAGACCAGGAAAACAACAGGCTGTTGAGGATAACCAAGATGCTGCCTGCTGGTGGTGGAAGCCAAGGAAGATGGTGGGCAGAGGTAGTAATGCCTTCAGTTCACCTCTCGGGGCTACTGGAGGAAACTCATCAGTGCACGGGGCTTTACCTGTGGCCTCCCTTCTCAGTTGCCTTCTATTCCCATAACTTGGTAGTCCTTCAGAGCCAATGGCTTTAGGCAGTACCCAAGGCTACACATGCCTTAACTACTATTTGCCCATTGTGTGTATAAGTTGTTTAAAAACAGGGCTTCACAAAATAGATTCTTACGTAGAAAAACATGTCTGCTGGGGTGGCCCTGTAGCCAGACCGTTAGGGGAGTGAGATGTCACAAGCTGACAGCAGTGCAACCCCAAGTGGCTTGAAAAACACACACAACACATGTACATGCATGCCCAGAATCCCAACAGGAAGGAGAATGGAGAAGAGATTGCGGCATGACCATAACCAGTGGGAGGTGTTCCCCTCGATTGTCTCTCTGTCTCTGGTAAGCACACACGCCCTCTGGCAATGAAAAAAAGTCCTGACAAGAAATATACCACTACGTTAACAGTGGCTAACTCTGGGTGGTGGAATTATGGGGGAGCTTCGGCTCCTAATCTATCTTCCAGTCTCACTCCCCACTCCAGCTGGACTACGCTCACCGCTCGTTGCCTCTGTCCTATGTCACGTTTCCTTCAGATCTATGCTCAGTCACCAAGTCCTGGGGCCACCATCCCTTGCCCTAAGGGACTCACTGGAACTAGACATGAAATGACCTAATCAATGTGTGGCCTCTCTAGGTTATCGGATCTAGGCAGAGACAGGTTTGTTTAGTTCACGATGTCATGCACGGTGTACTGTGACAAACAGAGCTACCAAATGCAGAGAAGTAAGAATATTTGGCGCCAGTAGGTGGTGTGGTGGTTAAGGTGCTAGACTCCCACCCGGCTGATTGCGGTTGGAGTCCAGGACTGGGCAGCTTGAAAACCATGCCAGGTGCGTATGTACAAGCCCCAAATCTCAAGAGAACAGAGGAGAAGGGACTGCGGTGTGACCATTTCCCCTGGCGGGGGATGACTTCTTACCCCTCTCTCCCTGCTGTTCCCCCAACTTGTCTCTCTCTTGTGAGTGCATGCACCCTATAACAAAAACTTAAAAAAAAAAAAAAAAAAAAAGTAAGAATCCTTTTTAGATCTGCATTTGCTGACTCAGGGTCTGTGTGAAGGACCTGTCCTCCCAAGGAAAGGACTGGCTGGCCCTCTGTACTCACCAATCATATCAAGCAGATCTTTTGTCACCTCCTGGCTGGAACTGCTGAGTGGCATGTTTGAATCAACCTTCAGATCTCTCTCCAAGTCTCTCCTGCAGCCCAGGGGTGGAGGGAAAAAAGGTGGGAGTTAGATTCCTTTTCAAGAAAATATTGGCGGGGAATTGCAGTGTTAGATGATCCTAAAGACAAAAGTTTACAGGTGACTTCAACTGTCATTTATGCTCGGATTAGAGGACAACCAGAAACAGCTAAGTCTGTGAAAACACGAAGCATCCTCCTGAGGACTGGAGCATCACAGGCCGCATCATTTACCCCCAGGAATGCAGGTATTCCTGGAGCTGACCAGTAAAACCTCTGCCTCAGGGGCAGCCACACGCCAGGACCTTGAAGTTTTATAAACCTTACTGTGATTGATCCCTGCTCCAAGCCAAGGAGTCTAAGGTGAGGCCTTTTGAAGCTAGTTAGAAGAAAAAAAGGTTTGGGGGACACCCTAACAGTAACAGTTAAAAAAAAAAATCTGTGCCTTGGGGGAGGGGAGCAGGGGCAAGGGTGAAGCCAGGAACTGGGACCTGGCCATGGGTTCTCCTCTCCCATGTGTGGGCAAAGGATGGTATCAGCTCCAGGCGCAAATACATAGTTAAGAGAAAATTTAAGATTTTTGCTTCTGGAGCATAACAAATAAGGTGATTTGGAAAACCAGGTTAACATTCTCTACTCCATTGGGCTCTGCAAAGTAGTTTCCATGGCTGGTTTGATCCCAGGATTGACACAGCCCCTCAAACCAGACGCACGCACAGTGACTCCCTGGTCCAGCTGCTGGGGAAAGGTCGTGAAGTCCCCGGGTACCATCTCAGCGCTCCCGAGAACAGGCGAGAGCACTATGGGGACTACCTCTAGCTCCTTCAACAGCGTCTCTGAAAACAAGGCCGCCGGGAAAGGCTGCGATCAAACTACCCAGTCACAATCACCTTAAACATTCTTTCCTCCAGCCTTCCCCAGCTCCCGCTGCTTTCCGAAACTGTCTTTCAGGGCCCAGCAGGGAGGAGTGCGCCAACACGTTCTCCTTGCTGCTCAGAGGCTTTCTCTGGGTGCATAAAGCCTGCGGCTTTGTGCTTGCTGGGACGTGGATGGGCGCAAAGGCAGGGTTGTCATTCTCGGGGGCACAGGGGGCGGTGGCCAAGGCGCAGGCGGCCAGCGGATGTCGCCGACAGAGCAGCCTGTGCAGCGGCGGCGCGAGGGCGGGCGGCCTCCGCGGGCCTGGGCCCTCCTGGGAATGGCTGGCTCCCTCAAAGGCGCGGTCAATGGCTGCGGTCAGCTCCTTTCTGCATCTTCGTAGCTTTTCGGACATTGCCCCTGGAAGCAACCGCGTCTGTATTACGCTTTATTATGTAACATCGGAAGCGCAGCGGGCGACACGGGAGTGACGTTACGAGGAAGCGCAACTCCCCTGAACACCGACCGTGCTGGCCACCACTTCCTTGACCTTGACCCGCC